GAACTGAAATCGATCGACGACTTTATCGCGATTCTCGTTTCCTCGATTTACGATTTATAGAAGCATTCTCCCCGATTCTGAATTGAGCCAATCGCGGCGCATCGAACGACTTTTCTGGCGAATCGTAAAACGAGATCGTACGATCGGGGGAAAGTAATTGAATTAACGAGGCAAGTCGTACGTGAAGAGGGAATAAAAAAGCTTTCGACCCCGTAAATCTCCGAGGTATAAGATAAAAGGTAAATATTTCTAGAAGTCACGGCGCTCTTCGATGTACCGAGGAAAAGGTCGAAGAAAACTGGAGTGGATCGTTAATTCTCAACTCAAGATAGATAATGTAATTTTCCATCCCTGTCTTTTTAATTTGCGTAATCGTAAATTATTAATATTAAAAATCAACTATAAATTTATTTAAAAATACGTAATGTAAGAAGTAGACGACATGATGAAACGCTCTTAGATCTAAAAATTATATTAAAGATAATAATGTAATAAATAATGTAATTTAATTAATAAATTTAGTTTACGGTCTTTAAATATATGTCTCAGCTTGTACGGCAGCTGACGAAGCTTGCGTTACGGTCCAGATGTTTATTTAATTACTCACGATCTTATTTACGTTACGATCTTACGTGTTTATTTGCTCGAGCCAAAAATAAATTGCAATAACGAACGTTGACGAACCGAAAACATTCGTCGGAAAGCAATGAATTGAATCGCGACGCCGCGGTTAAAATGATTTCAACGAACGAAATGATTCAGCTACAATATCGTGTATCCATAACTGTTTCAACGACGGTTGACGAGATTGTTCTTATCCACTTCCATTACTCTATCGTTTCCGTTCTCCGCTCGTATTGCGAATCGATAGGACGAAACGGGATGCATGCATGCACGCACGAGTATCTCTACAGGTGAAGGTTAATTAACGTCAATTAACTACCCCCTTAAACGTCCCAATGAATGCAACGTCGCTCGACTTCCGCGCTAATTTATTCGTACCAGTTGAGGTACCCGCACCATACGGTCTTTGTACAACTTTGTACAACGAGCTATTCGACGCCCAGCTGTTGTCGCCGGCACTTGCCAATGGATATCGATTAACTCGTAAAAACTCTTTATTCGATGTCGTTATTCTGTGCTCAATGTCGATTCTTGAACGGCAGAGAGATTCGTGGCGGTACTCCAAGTGAAGTCTCGCGCATTGAGTGCCACGAATGCGGCGTTTAAAAAAAATAGCCTCTTTTTCTCGATAAATGTCCCATCGAAACGCATGTTATATGGTTTAATGTACAGCATGACAAAATCTAAAATTGTGTAATTATCTCTTAGAGAAGTGAATACAAATTTTTAAGCTCAAGTTGTTCAACAAAATTTAATTAGAGATATGAATTTAATTAGAGAATATGAACTGATGTTGATTGCCTTAGATAATTGATTTGTTAAATTAAACTAATGATTTTTTTTAATATATATAATTTATTAATGTAGCGAATTGAATTTTTTTTGTCAAATATTTGGCAAATAAGAAAGTTTTATATACAAAGCAGCTTAACGTAAAAGTCGCATCTTGTGGTAGCGCGACACGAGAACGAGTCGTCTTTAAGATCGAATATTCAACGAGAGTAGCTTTCGAAGGCTGCTTTTATGGGGTGTTTAATGTGTATGTATGTGTGCAGGACGCGGGGCTGCGTCATTTTGCGTGTATTAGACTGCCAAGCGCGAACGAGGGGCGCGTGTTCGCGATTCCGTATTCGTCGATCAATACCGGAGCATCACACGGCATTTTAGAGTTACGATATTAACGTAATATAACGTCGCGATGGTGGAGTTTTATGGCTATGCTCCATCTCACGCTTGCTAATCTTCCTTGTCTCACGCTCTTTTCTATCAAGCTCAGCGACGCGTGCACGGTGGCCTGCTAACCCCCTTAACAATCTCCGTGCCAATCAAGGGCACGCCCTTAAATGTCCTGGAGTTCGTCTCCGCTCTCGTAGAACCTACACAGAGCGATTGTAATTTCAAACTTCCCCATAAACGCCTAACGTTTGCGAAGGCCGGTGTGGATTAGGAGACAGAGAGAAATCTATGAGGACGTTTAAAGCCGTCCTAACGTAGGTTTATGTGTCGGTTGATGGATTAACTGCGAACGTAAAGACCCTTCTCTCTCTCTTTCTCTTTCTCTCTCTCTCTCTCTTTCTATGTTAACACTAGAAATGATCAGACAAATTTTTTTCATCATTTTAATTTTTTTAAATTCATTTGCTTTCTAGTAAAACAGGGTAGTAAAATGGGATTTTTAAATTTTCTGATGTTAATTCTAATTTCTAATGTTCCATTAGAATAGAGAGTAATTTATGAAAAGTTAGAAAATTCTAAATTCTAAATTCGTATTTATCATACGAGAGGAAAGATAATTCTTTAAAAAAAAATAGAAATAATCAGAAATTACTGCTTGGTACTTTCAGTGTTATAAGTATAAGACTATATTTCTATATGTAACACAAGATCGGAAGATTAACATTTACTACTTGTATTAAGTAGCTAACGCGGACTATTTTAGAACATAATAAACTCCTGTGTTTTATGCGATATTCAACTTAAGCGAAGCCGACCGTAAAAGTTTACATAAATAAATGAGGACGTGTATCGTGAGACACATAGGCGAACGACTTATAAGCGTCACAATTGCAAATGCTCTCCACGAAGCAAACTACTAAGTGCGTACGAAGAATATATCTGTATTATATTTCCGACTTATTTCTGCGTATCATCAAACCTACAACAGTGTCATATGGTGCAACTTGGAAGTTATCGATTCGAGCGCAAGAATTTCTGAGCATGCGAAGGTCATGGTTCTCTTTTTTACTGCAGCACAGGAGTATAGATAGCTCAATGCGAATGCTACTCGGTTGAATGTACCCTCCACATTGTAGCAATCCCGTTAAACACATATAAGAGATCCCGCGGTGCTACTCTGCGAAATTCTATATCCCCTGTCGACCTATAACATACGCGCACACTTCACTGGAAGTTATTAACGTAAATTGTGAAAAATTCCCTTAAATACATTGGAAAAAGCATTAATAAAATTTATTAAGATAAATATTACTGCCTTAATGATCAAAAGGATAAGACATTTGTCCGATGATCCAGATTCGATTTCTAAAGTGATTATTTTTTGCAATAAGATTTTCCAATAGGGGAAAAAAGAGAGATTAACCGCTTTCAAAATTTGATTATCGATTTATTAAAAAATTAGCATTTGAGCTACGTCGTAAGTCTGTTAAAAATAATGGCACGTAGTTCGCGATATAAGCCAAATTAATTTCAAAATTTATATATATATAAATTCGATAAAAGAAAAATTATTATTAGACTCCCAAGATCGAGTTGCCTTCTTTACTCTTTAAATTTCTCAAGAATATCTGATTTGTATTACTGCGTCCCATCGATCCGCGGCATATTTTGTCGAGTTCCATGGAATTGTCGAAATGAATATGCGAAAGGAAAATCTACCGAGATCTACCTACGAGAGGATCTAGATGACACGTCGCGCTTATTTTCGCTCTAAGAAATGTCAGTTGCCGTTGCCTATACTCGATCGTGAAAGTTCACGGTGCACGATCGGCGCACTCTCGCTGCTTTTTCTCGCGCACGTGGACGAGCGCCTTCGCCTTGTGAGCGTCGCGGTTGAACGTACCCTCCGCGCGCACGCGTAAAGACGAGAGACCCCACGTACGTCGCGCGTGTACGCGCGCGACATGCATAACCGCGGGTGGACGGGTGGCGATTCTAGAAATAGCGGTGTGTTTTCCGCCCGGAGGGGATCGAACCCGCGACCTTAGAAGTTACACACACCGGCAGTGTCCCGTTATATTTTTAGTGCGGGCGCACTGAAAAATGCACGACCGAGAGCCGGGCATCCCCCTCGTCGCCTCGCCCCTGGCCGGGCCACTTTCCAGGCCCGCGCTCTCGCCTCGTTAGAATTCATCGTGTTGCGCGCTTCGTGGCCGTTCGCAAGGTAAACCGGTGGTTCCGCTTGACGCTTTTTATAAGAGGCCGCGCGATGATTTATGCGGGGTTAGTCCCGGAATTATCGCTCCCGAGGAATGATTTTCTCGCGGATGGTCCACGGAGCGGTTAAAAATGGGAGAAGTTCGAGGAAGTAATGCTTATTCGGAATTTTATTGTCGCACGGGTTTAATGTCTTAATAGATCTCCCCTAATTAAGGGGTTGAACGTTTTGACACGTTTTACTATGAACTTTAACAAGCGATAATTATCTCTCATTTCATTTCTGAGGAAGGATTTATAAACTCGACAAAGAGAATTTTTGCTCGAAGAAAGTATTATAATTTTGAAATTTTAATTATAGATAATTATAGAGATACATATCTTCTTTGTTAGAGCGATATGTATCTTCGTGCTAATTACAACGTCAGCAGCAACGAATTCGTGCCTGTTGCTGAGTGAGTTCTGGCCACGAGATTACTTAGTTCGACTCGTCGCTACGGAAGAGGAAGAAATTGAGAGATTGGAGGGGAGAGGGGGGGGGAAAGAAGGCACTGAAGAGACTCGCGAGTCTGCTTTATCTCTCTCACCGGGCGTCACTCGAAAGTCTCTCGTTCGCCACCTCTCGCGTCAAGCATTTGGCTCGAGGGGGGAAGGGGAGCTTCCGTTGCATTTTAATATGCACTCTCACGGACTCATTTCCGATTCTGATTTATAAACAAATCACGCCTTTATTCAAATTTCTTCGCGAAAACTCGCCGAGCGGTACGTCGGAGTTTCTGCAGATATTCCTGAGGCCTATCTCTCCCCGTTAAATTTTTCGTATCTCTCGCCGTGCCTCTCTGCCCTACAAAATCTCCTCTTGTAATCCTCTCTCTTAAACCATCTCCTCCCTACCGCGTTTTCAACTCCGCCTTCGCTCTCAATGCTCTTTAGTCATCTCCACGGTTTCTCGCGCGCGCGCGCGCGCGTCTGTAACCTCTTACTCTGATGGCGTCGGGTACCCCATAACCGACTAGGCCGGGATCCACCCTCGCCATCCTTGCGCCTTACTCCCAATCTGGCATGAATTTGCATGGAACCCTTTCCCGGCGGCTGACGCCTGTTAGGGCCGAAAAGCTCCACGGCGACGTCCCTCGTCCTCTTTCTCCCTCCCTCCCCCTCTCTCTCTCTCTCTCTCTCTCTCTCTCTCTCTCTCTTTTCCTCTCTCCTCTTCCAAGTCCCCGTCGAGCGCCGGATGAAATATTCATTTAATTATGACTGATTAAAATATAGATAGCCGCGTTACGTGCTGCATTACGCTCGCTCTAGCACGAGCATCCGAACGAGTATTTTCCGCGCTCGTTCGTCTACGCCCTTTCAGGTCGTCGGGGAATAAAGAGCCCGCGGGGCACGACGGCTAATTGTCCGTAAGGAGGCACCACGGGCTTCCGCGCAAATTACCACGTCGGCTTGACTTTATCGCGAGACGGCCTCGCAGTTGCTATCAATATTTCAGGAAGACAACAGGCTGCACCGGCCTGCGTTGCGCCTAGTCGTAATATATCACGTCGCGCGCGGGATCTAAGTCGAGATAATCCTGCGTGGATCTATGTGTCTCGGCGTGTAGCACCATGAAATGTACACAACGCACATTCGGATATCGCGAAAAACGCGAAGCAAAATACGGAAGAAAACCGCGGCTAGAAAGTATAACTTTGACTGCTTAAGTACCGAAGGCGTTACCGCGGCATTAACGCGATGATTCCAGGTCCTGCAAGTATCGTCTATGCAAAACTTGAAAAATATCGTATCACATTGAGGCTCGACAAATTTTTTATTCTTCTTTTCAACGATTCTTATCGGCTGTTGATTTTATCTATAAATCAGAGTGCGTCGTGTCTGGATGAAAATCTCGACGCGTCGCTACAAGCCAAATTATTGTACAGGCGTAACACACGCCGCGATTAATATTATCGTCATTAATGGCAAGATAACAATGTTGCGTGTCATAGGGGAGTTTTTTTTTTTTTGAGTAATTGAAATTTGTAGAATTGCGATACACGGCGCGCGGCCGGCCGATCGTGGCGGGCACACGTGTCGGGGCCGGCGACGGCGGCGATAATATGCAAATGCAGCTGTTACGGCATGAACGCACTCAATTACCAGGTGCGAACGGTCGAGCCGCGCCGACCGTATCAGACGGGTACTTTACATCGATTACTTTAACGAGAGACGACTCCCGAATTCCCGTACGACATAATAAAGAACGATCGAACAAGAGCGATCGATCGGGCCGATATACACGTCGGGCGGGCCGAAATACGAGGGCGCGGGAGGGAGCGACGCGTTCAAAATTAACAGCCATACTAATTCTGGCTTCGTTACCCCTGATTAATTCGATGCAAGTAGGTTACAGCGACAGGACGCTCCGATAATTAATGATGCGGACGTGGTGGAAATTTCGAGGTGGATCCAAGTCGGTGGTCGCACACCGGAACTAGGTGACAAACGATTCGCCTCTGTACGGTGACGTAAAAAAATGTCAAGGGAACTATCGCTACTTCGTTAACGTCTAACGCTAACTATCTCGTCTCGTTAAAATCGCTCCTGCGCTAATTACGAGTTAGCGATCGCGTTGTAGGAGCGCGCGCGGGAAGGGGGGGAGGGGGAGAAAAAAGAGCCGACGCGTTACGCTAATATCGAATTTTACCGTCGGCGACTTCTTGTTGCATAAACTTAGTTACGCGAGCAGCCTTATTAAACTTCTTGCCGGAAATGCTAGTAGCTGTTTAGCGTTATGGAAGTTTAATATTTAATAATGGTAAAGCGGGATGTATTATTTGTACACGTTGCAAACATAAACGCGAAAAGTTTTAAATTATTCTGCCGATGCTCGGGAGACTGTTAGCGGTGTAAAATATCGTAAAAGAGTTAACGTTAAAAAATTCCGCCTTGAAAACCGATGGATTACCGTACATCAACTTGTGCCACATATCACTGCCAAGTTGTAACCAACGGAGCCGTAATGCACATGCTGCATGTGTGTGTGTGTGTGTGTGTGTGTGTGTGTGTGTGTGCACGTAGCGCAGCAAAATATTCCGAACAAACGGCCAAGTTTACTAAAAGAAGAAGCCGTAAAGAGCTCCGGCGGAGCTCCGAACGGAACGCGTGAATCCTTATTTATCCTCGATTACGGGGCAGTCCTCGCCGACGAGTCTTTCGGTTGATTAAAAAAGCGTAGAGAGGCGTGTGAAGAACAACACTCCATAAAGCTGCACTCGTTTCGTTTTGCGTCCTTCATCAGGCCGTCGTCGGCCGCCTGATGTACGCGCGTAAAGGGATGCAGCTCACCGGGAAGATGTACGCGCGGGTGCCTCGTGGATTCTCGCGAGCTGCGAAAAGCAGCTCGCCGGGCTCGGGTTATTTTCCCTAAAATAAGAACGCGAAGGGAGAAAATAACAGGCAGCGCGTAAAACGTCCCGCTAATGCCACCGAAGCGAAATTTCTCCCTCCAGGGGCGGCGCCGAGTTAAAAATGACGGAACTGCCGCATCGTGCGATAGATCTCTTGTTTGCGTACGCTCAAAGGTTGCCTATATTACGTCGGGAGGGCGCGCGCTTTAAAATTCACCTCTCGCGCGGAGGCGGAGGGCGCGCGGCGCGGCGCGGCGCGGCGGCATTCAAAGGCGGTTGCGTCAAAGGCGCCCTCTCCTCGATGAAGCCGTTCCAATGATCCGGCCACGTAAGTCGTAATGTGGAAGAAACTTGGCGAGCAAACGTTGAAATAATATATGAAGATTTATCGTTAAGTAATACCATACACTTTGCCAACGTCGAAGTTTGCCGCGTTCTCCGCGTTTAACATTTACTGCCCACTCGAAAGTTAGAGGAGAGGGAAATGCCGTGGAGTAATATATACATATAATTTAGGTCTTTCTAGTAAGACTAGTTCTCTAAGTTTTCTATACACTTCGGCGTCGGCGACTCACGTAGGCGTGGGATTGATATTTTAATCCTACGTGTTCGTGCGTTTTCTTATTTCTACACGCGTAAATCTCGGGACGAGAAGCCACGGCTATTAATTTCCAAAGAGAAGTCTCTATTAATGCCCGCGCTAATATTCGCCGCGAGAGCTTTACTTTCGAGAGCAACCCTTTCGCATAACGGCGCTGAATTAGCGCCAACGCTTCCCCTAGCCCCCGGAGCATATCATCATTGGTCTCCCCACCGTCGTCGCCCGTCCCCAATTTTTGTCCAGGACCTTTAAATTACTCGGGATTAGGCTGCGTGCATTTTACGAGCGGGCGAACGACAGAACTTTTTTAATAGCACGATAGCGACTACGGTCTTAAAGCCCTTTTTTGCATTTTCAGTGCTCGCAGTTTAAAACGTCACGGTCCGAAAATTTATCATTATTATACTCCTCCTGGAGTGGCCTGGTTTATATCTGCGCAGTGATGCACGCGCGAAGACGCAGCGCTTATTAAATTTCACTGGATTAGACAAAGTCAATGTTTCTTCCCTATTTCATATTTATCGAATAATTTAATAATAATAATTTAACGGTAATTTAATATTTAACAATTTTCTTATATTCACTTTATACTTGAGAAAAAAAAATATAGATGAGGTAATCTTTTATTAAAAATTAAAATTGATATCAATTTTATAATCACTACTTTTTTTTTTTAATTCATGTTTGATCGTATTCGTTTAAAGATTTAACATTTTTCACATCATAATAAAATCATAACTCAGATTTTTTTTCAACTTTTCAAATCGAAGTACGTCTCCCTCGAGCCGATCATAAGCGCGAGACGAAGCATGGTGCAATTTTCTTCGGTCGAAGAATTAATGCGAACAATCGACGCGAATATCACGGCCATCTGTATCGAGATAGATCTGGCGGATTTTCTTTTAACGAAACAACGCTACGTCGTTGTTCCCCAGCAATACGCAACCGATGGATTAAAGGGGGCCCCCGTTTAATTTGGGTAATCCGCGCGATTACAACCGCAGAATGTAGTCGTCGAGGGGAAGAACGTCGCGAGTAACTTCTTGTTCCTGCAAGGTGATAACTCTGTACGCAGGTGGCTTCCTCTTCTTCGTGTCGTCCTGCGGTAAACCGCTCGACGGTCCTTTAATTTTTATCGAAGATGGCACTTTTCCGAATGAATTACTACCTACCGGTCCTCCTGTATCCCCCCTCTCCCTCTCACTCCTCTCTCTCTCTC